GAGTCTACTACCAAAATATATATATTAACTTTTATTTTATATTATCTACAGGCTTATATTATTCAAAGGCTTTTAAATGATATTGCATTTAATCAACAGTGCGCTCTTAACGGAAGGAAACAAAAATATAACGATACGAATATGTATGATAAATACGTTAGGTAAAAGGATATTCTAGCCTTTCAGATCCGACTGTAAATGCAATTAAATTGCTAGTAATATCATAAATTTTAAATGCAACATTACTGTTAACAAAATAATGTGACATGCATAAAATTGATTTGAATGATAATGCAGAATTATGTAAATTTAGACAAATAAAACGATTCTTCAACTTCTTAAAAATCGCTGTGGAACTTTAAAGTAAACTAGAAGCATTAACTTATGGTAGTAGCAAAAACCTTAAGTAATATAGATAGAAAAACAAAATCGTGTTACTCTTTGTACTCTTTAGAAGACGCCAATGTATTTATATAAATTCAATCCGTCGGCAACATGAAAGTAATCGTTATCATTAAAAATACTTCCATAGCCCAATCTGATCTTATAAAATAGTGGATCCTACATCATAGAACCACAAATTATTTTTGATTGTACAAACCCTTTATATACACAGGTGCCTAATAACAACAGAGTTTTTTAAGTTGACGTGCCATTCAAAGGATATATACATCTTGCTCTGCTCTGCGAAAATAAAATCTATAAGGAAGAACAGGGGTGAGAAAGGAGGTAGAAAAGTAGATAAGAAGGACTTCAAAAAAGGGGGAAGGTAGGAAGGGATCAGGAGGGAAAGAAGACAGGTCTTTTCAATATGTACGAAGTCAAATACGTCGGGATTGAAAAAAATTGCTAAAAAAAACAAAAAAAAATGCAGAATGGAGTCGCTCTTAAAAAAGAAATTCCTTCTTGGACCGTGAATGGTTAATATAGAAATTAGAAGCATATTGTTAAAAGTGTGTATTAGGAGTACGACTCTGTAAGGGTGCGAAATGAAGATATAAAAACATTAATGATGTTATGAGGGATGACATGAAAAAAAAGGCTAAAAAAGAGAAAACATTATAAAACAGAAGATAACAAAAGTTTCTTTGGATGTCAACAAGGAGAGAGAGATCAAAAGGTAAGACACCTTATTAAACATAAAGGGCTAGTTATGACTTACGGAAAATAAAATTAGAAGTAAGAAGGGACAGAGGAATGTATACATAAATTAGATAGAAAGGAACTGATGCATGTTTCAAGTAACAATCGAATAATAGTGATGACTGGTTTCTAAACATTGGAATTAATTTAATTTTATTGTTTTAACTTGTTCTATATTATCACTAAAATGTAATCTTCCTCCCTCCTCCCCTCTTTAGTAACTGTTTTTGAGGTTTTTTAATCGTGTTTTGGGGTTCCTGCCCGTTTAACCTATATGAACCTTTGGAAATGACCCATGCACTTGATAAACGGAGGGTTCCAGTAACAAACTACCCGGCTGCAAAATCTAAAGTTTGACGTAGCAGATATTAAAGTTTGTTAAATTTATACAAATACATGAAGGGGGTCCCACAATTCTTGGTAAAGCCTCAGCGCAGGAAGCAAAAAGGATAGAGAGGTTAAACAAAAACCATTTTAATAGTCAAGGTGTAAACTTTCAAAACCCACAAACAACCACCATCTAATGGTAACTGCTCCTGTGTAACTAAGTACTTTTTAATTTTATTTTTCTAATGGTATTCCTAGTATCTGTTTAAAGAAAAGGAACCATCCTGCGATGAGGAATTTAACGGTGTGTAACAAAACCAATAAGCAGGTAAAAAAGGCAATATGGTTGTGCAAGGGCAAACATAGTTTTTATTACAATCAAATAACAGATAATACGAAGATAATATGAAAGTCTAATATTGCAGCATATAGGCATTATAGTAAACACTGAAATTGGGCGTCATTGGCTGTTGGCTGTGGAAAGTAAACTAGAAGCATTAACTTAGGATAGTAGAAAAACCCTTAAGTAATTTAGATAGAAAAAACAAAATCCTGTTACTATCTTAGGCCCCCCCAGGGTCCTCACCTTGTCGCGGTGGGGGGGCTCAGTAGGTACCCACACACATGTTGTGGCGAAGCAAAAGGACACCCGGGCATCTGGAAGCAAAGTGATTGTGGGAAGCAGCCGACGGACACGGGCGAAGGTCCGGAAGCACCCGTCTGGTGTGCCATAAAGCGCCGCGGAAGCCCCGAGGGGCAAGTACGCGGCAGCTGGCGGTCGAACGCGACGTAAGCCCAGCACAGACGAGGTAGGATAACACGGGGGTCGCCTCTCCCTCCCGTAATGCCTGCCGAGTCGAAAGTGAGGCTCTCTCGGTGCGGCCACCAACACCAATAGTGGCAATCGCATGGGAACCTCGACAGGCGCCGAAAAGTCAGAGGTCCTCTGGGTAGATGCCTTCCCTACCCCATGTCTGAGGCGAAGTAAGTGTCCTGGCAAAGGGTGTGCACCAGGCGGGGTCACAGAGTTGAGGGTAACCTGACCCATTAAGGGGGTTACGACGTGAAGCATAATGAAATGCCGGTGGCATTATGTGGATCGGGTGGGCAGCCTGACCCTTTAGGGGGGCTGCACACTGTATGGCGAAAGCAGAGTAGATGCGAGAAGCGTAGCTCGGGCGAGCCAGGAAGGCTGAAGGATGTCCGGTGATAGCGAGAGTACAGCAAAACGGATGTCACCCAGCGAGGGGTGCTCTGGAGTAGCTGATGGCGACTGGAGAGCCTATACCGGTACTCGGGCGGCGGGGGGCCCACAGGAGTCTAGCTTCGATTACTGCCCCGCCAATTGGTGTTGGACTCGAGGTGGCAGATGGAACAAGCCCGCATGCTGGGTTAGGGGGCTGTGCATCGGATCTCCCGGTTCGTTGTGCAGTCTCTGCATTGAACGCTTAAGGGTTAGATAGGCCCGAACTTGGGGGTCACTCGCCTCGTTGACCCTCAGGCACCGCATCGGTGGCTTCCTGGGACCAATCCGTCTGACGGAGGGGAGACCCCAGGGAGTCCTCTTTCATACCATCATGGCTCAGCTGTGTTGGTTTGACGTGTGAATTTACCATGCGTGGTAAGGAGGTGCACGTTAAATCTCCATAAGTTGTTACTATCTTAGGACACCTTCTCAGGCATGAAGGTCTAGTCAGAGACATATTAGAGGCAGAAACAGGAGTTAGGAGGGGTAGAGGTAGACCTAGATTAGATTACTCTTCGCAAATAGTTAAGGATGTGGGCTGTTCTAGTTTTAGGGAAATGCGAAGTTTAGCTCAGGATAGGAAAGATTGGAGGTATTGTCCAACCAGTCTTAGGACTGACGACCTTATGATGATGATGATGTTACTATCTAAAATTTGTCTGCACCATGAAAGTAATCGTTATCATTAAAGATAATTCAATAGCACAATCTTATCTTTTTAAATAGTGGATCCTACATCAGAGCCGGGAAAACTTTAACTTCGTAGGAGCCGCTACCTGAGGTTAGTTTGAGTCACTCCCTACTCTTCAATGAGTACGAGAGAGTAAGCAGTAATGACCCATATTGCTTTCTCTTTTTCCTCTCCCCTCCACTCCCATATCAAGCCCCTTCATCCCATAGACGAGCGAAGCCCCTCACGCAACTTAAATAATACCTACGAAAATTTTCGTTACTACGTTCGGAATACTATTGGGTTTAGCTATGGAAGAGGGGACTCACCTACGAAATGGAAGGGATAAGAAAAGGAAAGAATCATCCACTCGCACTCGCAGGATCAATGAGGAGCTCCTTGGCTATACCTGAGGAGCTCTCGGGAGTCAAAAGAGCCGAGTTTGCCCGGCTCTGTCCTACATCATAGAAGCACAAATTATGTTTGATTTTACAAACGCATTATATAATAACAATAAAGTTTGAACACTTTTAAGTGAAGGATATATACATCTTGCTCTGCTCCATCTATAAGGAAGAATAGAAGGGAGAAGGGAGGTAGGGAAACAGACAAGGACTTGAGAAGGAGGGGAAGGGAGGAAGGAATATAGGGTGGAAAAAAGAGAGGTATTTATGATATGTACGAAGGGATGAAAAATATTGCTAAGAACATAGAACCTTTCACTATGCAATGCGAAATTCAATGGTATGTAACAGAACCAATAAGCAGGCAAAAAGGGCGGTACGGTTGTGCAAGGGCAAACACGGTTTATTACAATTATATAACAGAGAATACGAAGATAATACGAAAATGTAATATTGCAGCATAGAGGCATTATGGCAAACACTGACACATTTTATCTGTTTCTATTGGCTCCTCATATTCTGCGACATGCCATGTTACATACCGTTGAATTCCGCATCGCATGATGGTTTCGTTTCTGTAAACTGATATTAGGAATACCATTTGAAAAATGAAAGTCGAGGGTAGCTGCACAGGGGCAGTTACCCTCAGATGGTTGTTCATGAATTTTGAAAGTTTACTGCCTAACTATTAAAACAGTTTTTGTTTTTAATCTCTCTTAGCCAAGGAATTGTGGGACGACGAATTTTCATTAAGTGCAGGTCAAGATAATTCTAATATGACCTGCGTGTTGGTTTAGTCCGCTGCAATATCTTTTCTTACATCTCCGATTTTTCTAAAACCGACTTTGTTGCAGCTGTAGGAACTTTTATTAAAAAAATTGTAGCCATTGGTCAATAATTAAAGAATTAAATACCTTCGGCGGTTCAGTAGTCATCTTTATAGCCGCTTGGAGGATTGATATAGGAAAATCAGGATGAGGACTTGAGCTAAGCCATAAGCGAAAGTCAGGGTGAATTTTTCCATATTGAATTGTTTCTACAATCTTATCCAATTTTGGCATCCAACTTAGCGACAAGTGACAATTCGCTAAGAACACCCAATGTCCTTCTTTTAATCCAATTTGTATTAATCTGAAATTAATTTTACCTACAGTGGCTGATTTATTTTGTATGTTTTTATAGATGCGTCAAGCTAGTCAAACATAACTACTTACTGAACGTTTATCTATCGTAATAAAAAATTTTAAGTATAGTGTTTGGCGAAATTTGCTTTGAGCAATTAGAAAGGTCGCTTATTCTCTCAGCGATTTGTAAAAATTTAAATAATGTAAGAAAGAGTTGAAAGTACAGGAATGGATAAATATTGTAATGTTGGGTTTAACAAATTAACTTCTTAGAGTGATAACAACAAAAACTATTTATTTACACTAATTATTAAAGAACTTAAAAACACNATTAAAGAATCAGGATTCTCTTAATGTGGAGTTTAATTTTTAAGAGGATTTAAACGTCTGTTATGAGGAATTTTTTTAAATGCATAATCAATGTTTGTTTAAATCGTAATTATGACGGCCAAATAACAAAAAGCGCCTTAAGTATTGTGATAATATTATTACATTACGCACCCAGTGAGGAAAAGAAAAGAATGCCTCAGACTGCATTACATGCGTACCTCCTTGGTACGCATGCAATTTGTCTTCACCTCTCGGCCAGGAAGTGAAAATTTCTTAAAAGAGTAATTTAGCCATCCTGTTGATTGAGAGAAAAATTGAAAGAGAAAAATAAATATTTGGACAAGTACTAGATATTTTTACATCATTATGATTGCGGTCTTAAATATTACATTAATATTCAAAACATGAGCCAGAACTTACTATGTGTGGACTTTGGAGCATTCGGATTCACCCGTAGCTACTTTTATGACTAGTCTTAAAATGGTAGTTTTTGGCTTGAAAATTCTTCAGAAATAAACAATATAACGATTAAGACTGTTAATTTATTTATTTATGAATTACAAACGTTGAAATTAAATAATATTACACGGCTTTTTGATAGATAATTTAAAAATCGTAAATTTCCAAAGTTTTGTGGTGGGTGTGGATAAGGATCCATAAGTGATACATTTTAAGATTATTTTCATAATATACAGGGTGTCCAAAAAAATGGAACACCCTATATATTTTTACATTTTTTTATTCTTTTGTAATGTTCGCGAGTTTAACAAAACTAACTTTTAAGACTGATAACGACAAAACTGTTTATTTACAGTAATTATTGAAGAACTTAAAAACACCATTAAATTATTACTACTTAGGTTATGAATTATTCTATTTATTTACACTACTGTTGATATATCACTATTCACTGCGCTATTTATTTCACTTCTATCACTGTCAATTTATTCCTTGATTCAGTTCTACAACGGTCAATTTATTTCTCCTTTTGCGGCGATCGTCTCTTCATTTAAATACTCTTTTGTTTCCTTTCTGGAACCCTCTAGAAATTTCTGGAAAAGTTTCGTTTTCTTTGAACTGTTTAATTGCTTTCCCGGAACGCCGGTACGACACACACGTTTACAGATACGGCGCACATGAAGAAAGGCGCCCGCGGCTAAACGGCGAATCGATAAGCCGCTCACACACCCGATTTCAACTGAAATAGAACTGGTGAAAAACTACACAGTCGAAACAGTTACAAGGAAAAGTATTTCGGCAATAGTAGACACATAATTTAAAATTTTAACGGTTCAAAAAATCGTGAAACATATTTGATAAAATAAAACAAGGAACACTGGAAAGCATTCACATTTTCAAACTTATTTGAAGTTTCCAATATTACCACACCAACTGGCACAGGCAGATATTCGAGAACTTACTATTGCAAGGGGAATACCTGCACACGCGTTAAATTGATAAGGCGTATTGCGTAATTCTGGGGTGGAAGGTAGAATAATAGAAGTCTTACAGCGAAGTCAACTTATTAGATATAATTTTTCCTCATTAATTTGAGGAAGTGTGTAGTGGGTAAAAATTGAGAATATTTCATATTAAAACTAACTCACTTCGGGAAGATTTCTACATTGTATGTATATTTATATTAGATATATATTTACAAATATTTACAGAGTATCTCCAACGTATGATTGATTATGATTAACTATACAGTGCAACTCCTACCTCCAGTGCAAGTTCACTTCTTACATCTAAAACTTAAAAGTATGTGGAAAACGCGAATATCACCATTGGTGATTAACCCTTTCAAAACATTTCGATGCATTATATAAGGTGGGGCTTCCAAACTCAACAATTTTGAAGAAAGGGATGTTTACAACCTGTGAAAAATCGGCTACATCAAATAATAAACAAACGACACTCCATAATAAAAATGAAACTGAATTGGAAATCGTAGAGGATCCTTCCTGAACTGTTACCTCTACAAACTAATTTAACCATATAACCGATGCATCTAGCCATCCTCGAAGAGTCTACTACCAAATAAACACAACGCCACCTTGTAAATTTTCAAAACATTCTAAAAATTGTATACAGGAATTTTATGGCCTGCATCAAGAAGAACGGCCTCTGAACAAACTCCTGTTAAAAAAAATAATAATTGTTTAATAAAGAATATTACATAGCGATCTTGATTTTACTGAATACTTGAATGAATGACTTGTTTAGTTAAGGTATATACAGAACAGAATTACATTAGACAAGTATAGTAGAATTAGAGTATAAAGATTCTATACAGTAGGTTCACCCTCCAGTCACGCCCATACATACATCTCCTATCGACGCTTCATCAGCCAGTTCCGCGCGAAGCAGGGGCTGGTTTGTACAGAGTGTCATCGTGTAGCCACAGTGCAAACATATTTTGTATCTAAACACTTCGGTAAAGCTATTGAACCGTTTTCGTATGTGTCAGTTCAGCACACATAATCAGTTAATTTAAATATATATATATATATCACCACCAACTCCTATCAATTTCCCGTTGAGGTGGCAAATACCCCTTGGTCTCCTGCTGAAAGTAAGGGAGTTTGGTCGCGGTGGGTGGAAGTGGGTGGCGAAAATGTGAAAATATATATATCTGTCCTTCTCTAACTTATGAGACCTTTTAGAAAGTTCTAAAAATTTCTGAAATTATCCAGAAAACTCCAGAATGTGTGCAACTGTTACAATCGATATGGAATGTTCCAGAAAGTTCTAGAAATATCTGGAATGATCTGGAAACTTCCACATTAGAGCCAATCACGTTCCGCTATTATTCAAAATAGGGGCACGTGATAGGTTAAATTCGTTAATTTTGATCATCGCCCAGGAAACCGGGGGTAAGTCTCTCAATATCTAAGATAAAAATCTACGTTTAAAAGTGGATTCTTAAATATTTTATATACCATTAAACATGCGATGTATTTTAACCCGAGCAACGCCGCGTTTCGCTGCTAGTTTATGATAATTTGCAAAAAATGTGAGTATTTTAGGCAGACCAAAGGAGTGACTCTACTGTAACAATCTTTATACTGAAGTAGAATTAAGGTTTGAGCTGATAGTGGTCGAAATAATTGATCCAGTCCAGACACTTTGCCTTCACAATTAATGAAAAATTGTATTGATAACATGAAAGGCTATGCAATGTAACCGAGATGGTACAACCTTCGCCATTTATCCACTTATATTTTTTACTATGTAAACCAATTACTCCGAGATTCCGAGACCAATTTTAAACACTATTTTTTTTTACTTGAAAGCAGATACTATCGAATTAACTTCATTTAAATTTTATTAAATTGATGCAGTACGAGTGCAGCAGTATCTTTTTCTTAATAAATTGATTGAGCGAAATCGAGTTATCCCTCGATGGGTTTACTTAGCATACGACAAGTTTATGTTAAAATTATTCTGTAGATGATTTTATTTTTTCTGGAATAGCTTTTTGTACATTACAGTGTAAGTAGAACTAGCAGTTATTAGTTTACCGTAATAAATTGTGAAAAGAAAATAAATAATTAAGTACTTAAAAATATCTTCAAGCACTAGAAAGGTGAAAATATTTCGTATTTTCCAACAGAAAATAATTATTTTTACCTTTCTACTGCTCCAAAGTCGTCCAATTAAGGTTGCTATACAAAGATTGAATAGAGATCTACCGTTCTACCAGCAAAACGTAAAATCCGAGGTACCTCTAGAATCTGTATTATGTCTAATAAAAAATAGAGATAGTCTTTTTTATGTAAATTCGTCATGTCATCATCGTTTGATATTTCATTTTAATATACCTATCGTTAATGTGTAATTCATACCTGCAGTAATGATACTGCATTTACACATTTAGTCGAAAAAAGTAACAAACGTCGAACGAGAACATCAATGAATAGATTTTCATGGCGTTTCTTTCATTAAACCTAATACTAAAACGTTTATTAATTACAATTTACCGATCTTTGTTTTTTAATAGTTTACGCCCAATTCCAAAAACAATTGTAAATTAATTATTAACCTGTGTATGTGCAATAATTTTAATCACATGTATGAGATCATTACTATTTGTATTTCTTGAGGTCGGTAAGTATTAGTCAAAGATCAAAAATTGCAAATTTCAAAAAAAAAGGAACCAACATAGCGACCAGAAATTTAATAGGCAGGTGTAAATAATACAAAAGACGTTATATTATTATACAAATACACTTACTTAAGAAAAACAGTTCTTTAATACGCTAATAAAAATATACGAATTATTAAATAAAATAATTCGAAGTGGTCCGTATTCTGTCGAAACTGCCAGACGCGGATCGCGATTTCGATCATTTCGGATCTCATCAGCGCGTCGCAGGCAGCTCCGACATAACACAGAGTAACTTTTACCTGCTGTCTTAACAGTGCGTTTCAGAAAAAACTGCAAATGGCGCAGTAAACGCCATCTGTAGCACGATGCTACATTTTAGGATTGGATATCTACTTGCTGAAAACGAATCCCGGCGTAGCCAACCCCAACGTGATATGCACGTTAGCTTAATCGAATAAAATAATTCGAAGTGGTCTGTATTCTGTCGAAACTGCCAGACGCAGATCGCGATTTCGATCTTTTTGGATCTCTTCCGCGCTTTACGTATATTCGATTTTCTCTCACACCAATGTCATGTTGAATGTTCAGTTAATTTTGGACAGTTGCTTTGCTTGCACGTGATTTGGCTCGTTTTCGATTTTTGCCTATTCCAAAAAATGGATCAAACAATCTGTATCAAAATTTTTTATGAAAACAAAATTAAGTGCGCGGACGCATTCCGCATGTTCAGGAGGTAAACATATCGATTAGCTCCTATCATTCGATTAACGCATTAACATTGTTAAGATTGTTAAGGAGCTGTTGGGCTCTGTCCACGACGATCCAAATTTGCGTCAGGGTGTCATAACTGGTGACGAATCATGGGTTTCTGGTTATGACGTCGAAACCAATGCTCAACCATCCCAATGGAAGCTGCCGCTCGAGCCAAGACCGAAAAAAGCTAGGACATATGTGCATCATAAGGAATATTACCTGCAAGTTATGCGCAATTAGCGCAAAGCTATCCGCCAGAAACGCCCGGATTTGTGGGAGAACAAAAATTGGCTTTTGCGCAGTGATAATGCCCCTGCTTACACATCGTTGCTTGTCTGCGAATTTTTTGCCAAAAAAACATATTAATGCTGCAGCCATTGTATTTCCCAGATCTGGTCCCTTGCGATTGAAGAGATAAAGGCGGCATTGAAGGAGAACACTGAACAAGATCACAAAAAAAGGTTTTTTGAAATGCTTCGAGGATTGAAAAAAACGTTGGCAGAAATTTATAATATCTGGTGTGGATTACTTTGAAGGGGACAAAATAGATATTCATGAATAAATAAATAATTTTTGAAAAAAAAAACAAAATTCACGATACTTTTTGAGCAGACCTGAAATATAAACGTACGGAAAATACAGTTCAGCAGATTTTCGAGAGCTAGGGGTAAATTCACTGTTATTGACTTTAACTTCTTTTGAACGTTTTCCCATCTCCACTCTATCGACGAAATACCATTTCCCCGCCATACTTACACCTATACCTAGCTAAGTACACTCTATTCATATACTCAAATCTGCATTAGGTGTATACACTAATGATATTATTCATATATACACAACTATTCAAAGTCGTGAACTTTTCTTTTAGTTTCCATTTACAACGATGTAATATCATCTTTCCATGAATGTCATTAATATCTATAGTTTTAGAAATCGTTCATAAAAAACTGACCTTCTTACCTTTCTTATTTCGTTATTTTCAAACAGAGCAAGAGGATATAACTAGCTCATATACTTTTTTAATTATACATCGACAGTGGGCGCGGCGGAAAAGAAATGGTTACAAGCGTTCGAAATGTGGCGTTACAGGCGAATGATGAGGATACCGTGGATACAGAAGGTTAGAAATGAAAAGGTATTAGTAAGAGGGAACTGAGGACTCTATGAAAGCCAATTAAAAATAGGCGAGATAGTTGAGTAGGACACCATATTCTCATGCATGAATGGCTAGTCAGAGACATATTAGAGGCAGAAACGGAACTTAGGAGGGGTAGAGTCACTTACAGGTTGTGAGTGAAATACGTGTTCGTGTTGTTTTTTAAACTGTTGTGGTTAATTGGGGTAAGATCTTTCTTTTTGTTTAATATGGAATCAATTGGAACGACAACGTCCTTTAATCTTATTATTTACAAATTGTAACCATTAATTTTTTTCATTGTCTGAGCTTCTCAAGGATTGTGCTGTAAAGAAAATTATATAATTTTGACTGAATCATGGCTATTCTTCTTCGAGCATCTGTTGAATCAGCATGCTGATAGCGTTTTGTGAAAGGTACCTATGCCACAAATTTCCTTCAGTTATACCATTCGTAAAAATTACTCCTTTAATCCGCTTGTACAAAACACTCTCAGTGACGCAACGTTTGAAACACATACATATATTTCAACATGGTTTGCTCAATTGTTTGGTCAATGTGAAAAAGCCAGAAAAATATTGATCTGAACGTCTTGACGTCAAATATATCCTTCTTTAAATTTCCTAAACTCCTCAGAGTCCATTTTAGCTGATAATTCATTCATTTTTTGGGGAAAATTTTGAGCTAATTTTGCTTATGAAAAATAATCGGCTGAATTAAAATATGGAACCATCAATTCCATAGTTCAGCAACAACAAAATCTTTTGGTATTGAGACCTTTTGTGTGCCAGAGATCTCAAATATACTTCATACTTGAATGAATTTCGCTTTAGAAGTTACAATCTTAATTATAAATGTGACGTATGCATGTATATTAAGTTATTATATTATTTTAGTATGCAATATGAAAAACACATTCCAAAAAAATAAAATAATTTGATCACTGACGGCTTCTTTCGAGGTATAAATCTAACGACGCTTCACTCATAAAACGCTTATAAGTGGTTGCTGAAACTCGCCCTACCACCATCACTTCACAGTAAGATGCACTCACAGAAGACTGTGTATATGCAGTAACACAAAACTTGTAACCTTGGCGAACAGCATGGCGTAGAGCAACGGTAACAAAATATTTTTTTATAGATAGCAAAGTATGTTTGAACTATGGGTTTGTAATTTTTTGGAAGGAATATGTTTTTTTCTAGACCTCGATAAAAATTTCGTAAACATCCGGATCCCCCTAAAATTACTTATCTACCCTTGCCCTAGAGGTCTAAATTGCTCAGCAATCACCGACTCGTTTGTAGGTCTATTGCATGGTCCAAGCTTCTAGTGATTTGCAATACTCCACAGACATTTTTTTACTTCCTGTCTGTCTTCATTTCATTAGTCTCGTCTTTTCCTCCCCAACTACCCCCCCCCACCCAATTCCCATAATTCGTAAGAGGAGGCTCAAGATTCTTCCACGTTATCTTCCAGCTTTTTACCTACTAGAGTGTAGATCGAAGAAATTGACTGCCCATCAACAGAAGCAACCGATGGGAATGAAATACACAACAAAAGTATGACACAAGTATATTAGTCATTATGTAAAAGCAAGTAGATATCCATATATTTAAATGTACCTAGTTGGAGCATACGTAATCCTAAAATGTAGCATCGTACTACAGATGACGTTTACCGCACCATTTGTGGTATTTTCTAAAACGCGCTGTTAAGACAGCAGGTAAAAGTTGGTCTGTGTTCTGTCGGAACTGTCTGCGACGCGCTGATGAGATTCAAAATGATCGAATCGCCATCCGCGTCTGGCAGTTTCGACAGAAAACAGACCACTTCGAATTATTTTATTAGTCATTATATTTTCGTCATAAAGACATAAGCTAAAAATTGTTATCATAATAGAAGATGAAACATCTGGTATTTCAAACCAAACTAGATAACTGCAGCTCAGCCTTTACAAAATTATTTGCTTACTCTTAATGGCCACAATTTCAATCCATGCATAGCCAATGTACAAGATTCTTCCGTCAGTATGTTAATCAACTCTCGCTCAGGATTTTATGGTAAAATAGTCAGTATAAAATTACCAAACGATCAGACATAACTAGCGAATACTGGCTGTGCTAATTTGAGTTAGGATAGGTTAATTAGTTGGACCAGTTGTGTTTAAATACTAACCCTTTGAATTGAAAAGCTATCATTTTGCAGTAAATGTTGACCAAAAGCAGTTGGATTCAAATACAGATCCACCATACTTAATTATAATATAAGGACTATTTTAAGAATTTATGTTGACCATACCTTGTAGCTATTGGAGCTTGACCCTGGCCTAAAGATAACGAAAAGAAGTAAGGTGTCATATCAAAGGCTTCAGCTAGTTGGATGAGCGAGTTTGTTGGATCAACTCCAGAGGACAGTACGAAAATCAAAGGAGTCTGTGGCAGAGATTCTTCCAAGACGCTTCGAATATCAAGCACCGGTGGTTCCACAAATTTAGGGTCCAAATTGTTAATGATGAAGTTTGATACGGAAAAGGACAGTCTATCGGATCTCAAGGATCTGACGAAAAGCATTTTTTGAAACTCGTTACACTGATCGTCCCATTCACCTAGTGAATATTAGTAAAAGTTTTGTTACATAAATATTAAACGAGACAATAATGAGTGTCATTTTATAAACAGGTTTAGATTGCTAATAATTAATAAAAATAATCCTTTTGTCGTGAGATGCTTCTTGAAATTGCTCATACAATATATGTTCATATAAAGTGAGAAACGGTGATGAGGTAATATTTATTTATTTTCTATTTAAAGAAGTTCATAATTTAACACGACTCTCTGATACATTTTGTTTTCTTATACAACAGCACAGCCGTCTCTACTTACAAGCCATGCTGAAGGTTTACTTGGCAACACTGTGGGAGTCTCAGGATTTCCCAGTTAATGCGAGTTACAACTAATACATTGGTTGTTGTGTTTCTTTCGTTGTTCTATAATATTTTAATTTTAGCGGAAATATCGTGCAATAAATGCGAAATAAGGATGATTATAGTGTATTTTAGTGATTAATACCTTTGGATACAGTTTTTAATTGCAGAAGGTAATATTAACTATTAAGTGAAAGAAGTGAAAATGTTTTAAGTCAGATTGTGTGTTTTAGTTGTAAATTTTCTGGTTTATTTCTTAACAAAATGCCTCGTCGTTGGGTTCCCAGTTGCAATTCAAATTATAAATCATCTTTAAAATGTAAGTACAAGTATGTCTATATTTTTATTCCCAAAAAAATGATGAAATCCGAAAATATTCTGCAGTTTACATGCATCACTTTAACGAAGGTGACATTATAAAAACAATAAAAAAAAAAATCTACTGCCGGTAATGTTTTGAGTGTGCTTTTAACATATCCTAAATTACCAGAGAATGATAAAATAGAAATTTAAACTGTTGAAAAGTCTCCCTTAAACATAAGTCAATTTATTGAAATTTTAAATTCCGATTTTTTGCAGTTCATTCTGTTCGTAAAAAGATAACTTGCAACAATTGTGTTTCGGTCATAATAAACAATAAAGGCTCTTGCGTTGGAGATATTTATTTTGATTATTTACAAAGGGGAGGACTTTCTGTTCCTACTGATAATATTAGTATAGTTTTGTTTTCACATTTATGCCATTCTTGAGGAAAAAAGTAATAACGAAAATCTGCAGACACAATGTTTACGGGCTGAATACCAAAAACCAATTTTAGGAAAATTAACTATTTTCAAAAATATGTAGTTGTGGAAAACATTATAAAGATATATTCTTCCAAATTTTATCTTCTTTTGCTAATGTTTTGCTTAATGATTACGTTAAAATTATAAATTATAGAAAGCAAGAGTCCCGCCACTCCAATTCAAATTCAGCTAACTGTAAGACAGCAAAAATCCGTAAATTAGAAATTGTAATTAGTTTTTTCTAATGGGATGGCAGGGCTATTGGTGAACCCCAAAAAAAGCTAACGCGCCTTGGCAATACTTCAATTGTGGTGTGGAAATTTGCTTTAATAAAATTACAATTATCGAGATGAAATTCATGTAGGTACCTAACAATGTTTACACCTAATCTTTTGTCTTTTCTATTTTGTTCTTAATACCTACATGTTGAAGTGTATTTTAAATAACGTCACATACTATCAGTGATGAACAAATGTTAGTTATTTAATAATTCAATTCATTTTTATCGTAATGGGTGTCTAAAAATCATGTGTAACGACGTGTAGTAATAACAACTAAAACTCGCAGAATAGAACTCTCACATCGAAGCAATGCGCTGTTGCCAAATTTCTCAGCATGGCTTGTATTAGAGGCGGCTGTAACAATTGGCTATGACCGATGGCTCATATAAATCTGCGAAGACAACTTTTATTGATATTTGTATGACACCTTCAAGAAACCATTTTTGTGATTATCATTTATAGCGCATACTTTTATAGGAAACAAAAACATTGGAGAATCAAATAACATTTAAGTAAAGAAACAGGATCCAATGTAAAATTACTTTTACATGTCATGACAACAATTTATTGTTTTGCCATTTTGTGACTTCTTCAGAATTTACAGAATATTGCAACAGAAAGTAATTTTAAGCATTAAAAAGACTGTGAAATCATTGTTGCACTAATTCAAAAATGTACTTGTGTCTTGTGTTGAGACATTCTTATTTCATTTATACTTATGCTCAAGAAGCATAAAAAATGTAGAGGTAGTTCACGGCAAAATAACTTTGTTGCCAGCAGTGTCATTAGAAATTATGTATCCATCATAACGATAAATCAATAACGAATTCATGATTTGTACTTACCTATTAAAGGCAACGTTTCGGGTTCAGAATGAATATACCATGCGTGCCAGTCTCGAGGAAACTGTTCAAATGTGTTAACAACTCCATGGAAACCAGCTATTTTATCTAATTCAGTGATATTATCCCATGCAGTTTCACTTAACCATACTTAAAACAATGTTTTGCAATTAAAATAAGCTCAATATCAAACAAAATGATTAATTTGTAACATTAATTACAAAAAGAATTGAAGATTACCAGAGCATGGATTATCTATTTGATTTTCTCTATCAAGCACAACACCACCCTTAAGCAAGAAATTGTATTCTGCGGGTACAATTTTCTTCAACGCCTCCAAAATTTTAACACACATATGAAACGAAAATAATAGTTTATGTCTTTCAAACAAAGCTCTGCATGTGTTTCTAAAATAATAAGTTGATTCAGGGGATGGGCATCTCTGTTTTGTTATGACAAAATTATTCATAGGTTCCGAATAGCAATACATTTTATAATACAGCTGTAGGGGGTTCTAATCCACTAGGTCGTCAATATGGCGCCCGGTCACCCATTATGTAATTTTTGTTTACTCCGTTGTATTCATATACAGTTCAAGTATGGTTAAACTCAATAGTTTAAAGCCGAAGTGCTTGTATATACAAATTCTTCGATGATTATAATTTATAATGTCAGGGCTTTTGGCACCAGGCAGTCTTTTTTATGTGTTTTTCGATATAATAAACAACTTTAAAATTAGAAAAGGGGCGAACGAAGTAAGTTTAAACTAATTTATTTGTCCCTTACTTTGATACAATGTTGATTGTACAAGAGAAAATGTTAAAAACTAGAAGTTTCGATTACGTAAAGATCTAAACTGCAACTAACTGTCTTCAGTATATTTAAAACATACAACTGTTTTTTACCCCAAGATGCTTTTAGACATTTTATACATACGGTTTCCGTTGAGGCATAGGAAAAAAGGTTGAGATATGAAAGTGCAATATCAGTATTGAATTTTGAAACTGAAATGGATATGTAAAAGAATCTTGGGTTTTCTCCCAAACGATAAACAAGTGGTTTTAAGTGCAAAATTGACAGTAACAAGCGAAACGCAATGAGATAAAATATGAGAAAAGGGGTGATTGTAAACTAGACTAGGCTACAAATTAATGACACAAAAAAATGGAAGATAATGGGTTTTTGAAAGAAGTTGTGCTATACAATGGAAATATCAATATTGAACCAAAGCGAAGACCCATAAAATGCTACATCTTTAAGATTACATTGTACAGAACTTTAGAGAACCTATACGCAGGCCCTGAATTAGGAGATATATTATAGAAGGAAGATAGTGTGGAAATAGATGAGCTTGGTTATCCCATAATGAGAGAAGAGTACGATGTAGCATTAAAAACTTAAATAATAATAAGGCGCCAGGTGTATATGGGATATAGGGGAAATTCTAAAACATGCAGGACAAGAGGCTAGAGATCGTATGTTTAAGCTAGTTAGTCAGATTTACGCAACGGGGAAAGTCCCAGAGGATTATAAATGGAACGTAGTAGTAACATTACCTAAGAAGAGGGGCGCGGATAGGTGCGAGACATTTCGAACAATTAGCTTAACATCTCATCCGTCAAAAATCTTAACTAGAATTGTACAGAGGAGGAGGGAAAAAAGGGCGGAAGAACTATTAGGGGAAGATCAATTTGGGTTTAGAAGAAATAGAGGAACGCGGGAGGCCATTCTAGCTTTACGGGTAGCAATAGAGAAAACGATAGAAAAAGGAAAGAGTGCGTACATATGATTTGTAGATTTAGAGAAAGCTTTCGACAATGTTAAATGGGACAAGATGTTAAATATACTTAAAAATATAGGGATGAGTTACAAAGGTAGAAGAGTGATACTTAGTTTGAATAAAGACCAACATGCAGTTATAGAGCTAGGGATGCAACGTAGAGAAGTAAATATTAGGAAGGGTGTCAGACAAGGATGCACACTGTCACCGTTACTTTTTAATCTATACATCGAAGACGCCATCAACATCATTAAAGACAGTACAACTGTAGGGATAGATGTGCAAGGACAAAAGATTAGTATGCTTNCTTAGGACTGTTGACCTTATGATGATGATGTACGGAACTTCTGTAGTGAGGAATTTCTGCAACGTTTAGAAAAACGGTTGGAAGCAATGAATTAAAATCAGCAAAGCCAAATAGACGAAAGGGGAGGTCCGGGACGCAGAAGTAACACATTGTTCAGTGCTGCCATCAATGAAGTAGTAATAGCCAGCATGATAACCAATTGAATGGCACGGCACATAAGGAATATCACCTATACATAAGATATTCAAAAACCACAAATGCAGGATATTTAAAGGACACAGACTGAACTAGTTACTCCAGATGTTCAAAAAATTAATATATAGAAATTGTAAAATAAAAAGATGCCTGTTGATCACATAAGTAAAAATTCAGGGTAGCCAAAATATTATTTATTGTTTTGCGACATAGTGAAATAGAACCCTGTTAGCTATTGGGATTTGACATAAAACGATACGGCACCTGGTGGCAGAAATTTTAACTGCCCAAACATTGCATTGTAATAAACAGCTATTGTGTACTGTGTTATTTTGCAAATGGGGATTATTAATATTTTATATATTATATGGAACTAGCCAAATTTCCATTTCGTGCAATATCAAAGAGAAGAACCGTTTGTGCTGTAAAAGGTTGTACAAGTCGATTAGATAAGGACGTATATATTATATTTCATAGTTTTCCTACGGTGCAACGGGTCGTAACTATCACAAATGTATTTGGTAATCTTGAGAAAATCGATCAAATTAAAGCTTGGAAAAGAGTTTTAAAAATTAAAAATGTCAGTTCATGTACAAGAGTTTGCTCACTTCATTTTAAAAAAGATGACTACATTTTTCCGGGTAAGTAGTAATCATAAACGTTGTATTTCTATACTTAACCTCACTTTATAACTCCAATGTGATGCTAAAATTTATGCGTTAATTTTTAAAGATGTTGCAGTAAAACGCAGAAAACTGAAAAGGAATGCTGTCCCGTCTAATAACTTACCTAATGTCAAAATAGATAATAGTCGCGAAACTCGAAAAATTAAACGACGTAAAAAAATTGAAGAATTAATGGAGAAGCAGGAAAAATATTTAGTATCAGAAGAATTAGATCATAACTCATCAAACGGTGAAAATTTATGGAATGTTCAAGTAGTAGTACCTACCTCTAACGCCATCAATGCGAGATGTTGAAGTGCAAGTATCAAGCGGTATCACTTGTTTTATCAACATTTTTTCCACATTTTATTATGTGGCCAGCTTTCAAAAGTTTTTCGGCTTCCACAACACTTCTTGAGCTTGCATTTGCATTAACCCAATCAAAAATTGTTTTTAAATTTATCATTAGAAAAATTAAAAATCACAATATGCAATGCTTTCTATAATACAGATGCAATGTATGGACAGCCATCTTCATTAGGCCGCGCCCACATGTCACATCCCAATACTACTTTTCAGATTTATGAACGTGACTTAAACAGTTAGAGCAGTCAAGTCGAATTCTGAGCTTAAAGGAGGATGTAAGGAGTCTGAACAGATGTACGTACTTATAAACTGAATAAGTGTGATAATCATTCAAAAAGTTAATGCGATCGTTTAAGTTGCTGGATTTTGAACTTCTTTCAATAGACTGAGTGAAAAGTAACGTGTAGGCATCCAATGAAAACTGATACATAGGATCAATTTTTCCCATATCATTCTGAACGAAAAATAAGATGGAGGCTCTTTCGGCGCAAGGTCTGTATCCCTACAAAAAAGTACCCATCATTTTAACTTCAAAATTAACTAGTTATCAGTACGAAGGGATTTGCATTAAATTTTGTAATTATATTACAAAAAAAAATGATTGATAAACGTATTATTTATAGGTAGGTAAGGTTTCTCACTTACTTCTCTTGCTAAGTCAATAGCAATTTCTGTTTCTTCAGAAATTGCCAAGCTCTCTACAACAGCAACTGCGGTGGCTTTAGAGACTTGAAGTGTGTTAAATAATTCAGCGTCTTCAAGTAAAGAACCGCGTGTCTCATTAAGAAGTCTTAGTAACTCATTTTCCAAATCAATTAAAGCTCTCTTGCCTAGAAATACCAGCAGATGATATAATTTAACAGTTTGCAAGAAAAAGGGAGAATTAAAACTAGAATATTATTATGCTTATCCAATTTAGTGGTTGACTTGCCTCTTGCAATTGTTAGTACCATTTCATCCTTTTGTATTTCAAGTTGTGGTTTCTCTTTTCTTACTACAATTCCTAAAAGTTGAGCTTCTAAGCCCTGTTGCTTAATTGCAAAGTTTATAAGAGATGTTTTGGTAGATATTTCGGGTGGATAATGAGGATTAGTAAGCTTAGTTGTAATAAATAGCCTAAATTTGTGGTTATATGAGACCATTTTGTCATCTAGTTTAATTAAATCCATTCCACCTTGCTTCACAATGGCTTTATTGAGTATTGGGTTCAGTGATGGGTCCATTTCCTCTAGAATATTTTGTAATAGAACTGGTTTCCCAAATTGTATTGCTTTTTCTAATACCCCCATAAATCTAGGAGTACTTAAATCGATAACCTGGAAATAAACGTTTATTCAAATAGCCTGTTAGTAGAAGTACTTAGTCTGTGATTCTTAAGTAACTGAGCCACTTTCAAAGTCAAATGATTCTGCGTTAATTTCAGGCTAATTCTCCGGCGTTTTTCTTTTAAAAGTGATATGTACATACACACCCATAGGTACAAGCATTTATTTCTCCCAGACTCACCATCAATCGTCTTTATTAAAAATGAGAGGTGTCTACCCATCTCAGAGTATTCCCACCCCTTCTCCCCTGTAGAATCATAATTATGTATTAAGAATGGAATTTTATTAGTTTTCGCATCGCCTGCTCCTGCATCTCAATAGTTACTAAATAAACTCTCGGCGATCACAAAACTGATAGAGGCGCTAATTGAAACTGCTTTGAATTGAACTAACGAACTGAACTAAATTGAAATTAGGAAACAGATCGCCATTTTCCTATGCTTGTGGGAGCCGAACACGTATCTGGGGCAACACAAGTTTTGCTTATTTTTGGTACTGAAACGATTTATCCAAAAAATGTGTCGGTGGGTAGTAAAAGCGAATGTAAATATAGCAGACTAAAGATTGGAATAAGTGGCTGATTTTAGATATCTAGAAAGTCAGATAAGTCAGGACGGCAGGAGTAGTAAGGATATAAAACAGAGGAAAGTGCAGGGTCGTGTCGCCTTCAATAAAAAGAAGTCACTTCTATGCTCGCGAATGATTAATTTAGAAATTCGAAAAAGATTGTTAAAGGTGTATGAGTGCCAAACGTGGACGATGGGCGGGGTGGAAAAGAAAGGGTTAGAAGCTTTCGAAATGTGGTGTTATCGGTGAATGATGAGGATACCGTGTATAGAGAAGCTTAGAAATGAAGAGGTATCAGAAAGAACAGGAGAACATAAGACTCTATGGCGGTCAATAAAAATAGGCAATATAAGTTGGTGGGACACCTTCTCAGGTCTAGTCAAAGACATATTAGAAGCAGAAACAGGAGTTAAGGGGAGCAGAGGTAGACCTAGATTAGATTACTGTTTGCAGGTTTAAAGATATGGGATGTTCTAGTTTTAGGTAAATGCGAAGATTTGCTCATGATATAAAGGAGTGGAGGTGCGTGTCCAATCAGTCTTAGGACTGACGACCTTATGATGATAAGATGCACAGTATTTGATCGGAAAAAGTGGACGTTTTACATTTTACCAATTTTTGAAATATGTATATAGCACAACAATACCTACAAGAAGTAGAAATAAAAACCGTAAACTCAGAAGTAGTATTCTATTCTGACCTGTTTGTGTTTTTGTAAGTTATACATTAGTGGGGAGTTAATACGCGAGAGAGTTAGTGTCCGACCGAAAGTTCGGTTTCGGTTTCGGTTGAGTTTCGGCAAAAAAAAACGAGTTTCGGTTTCGGCCGAAACTGAAACCGTTGCCGAAATTCGGTTTCGGTTTCGGTCGTAAAAACTAGTTTCGGTCGGACACTAGAGAGAGTACATTATTTCATTTGATTTGTTATTATTTCATTAGTTAAACTTCTGAACTACTAAATTGTACGTATAGACTTTACTGTGTGGCTGTCATTATTACAAGAGATGTTGGTTGCTGTGTATAAGTCATGTTTCGTAATGACAAACCTGTAAATCATTCTTGCCTTCCATGTTTTTAATCCACTTCTGGGCTTGTGTTTGAGGATCAATTACTAAAGGCCATCTAGAACCTCTGACTACAATGATTCCATTTTCTGTACTGAATGCATCAGATGGTAGGCCTTGAATATTCCATTCTCGTACCGTTGTTGGGTCACATAGGAAATTTACTACATTAAAATCACTGGAAAATGGAATTTCTTGTTCTTCAACCTACAGATAAATACAACCTTTAAATTACCTAAATTTAAACTAATTAATTCTAAATATATTAAAATCGGATGTAGATGTTTAACCTCCTTTTTCCACCTATCTACCATGTCATCTCGATATTTCGTTACAAATGGCCCCATGTAAGAAATAAATGCTATTCCAAGTAGACAATCACCAGGTAGATTATTAAATTTGCCTTTTAGATCAATTACAGTTTGCTCCCATCTTTCTTTTTCTCCTGATAAGTTCTCTACTAACATAGCAGCTCTTTCTAATTTCAGTCGAAGCATTTCAGCCTAAAATAAAATAAATAAAAGGTCTATTATTTAAACTTTCAATTGTGTATTCTCGATGAAACATTTTCAGTAATAAAGGAAAGAGAAAGGAAAAGATGTTTCAACAAAACAAAAACAAAAAGGTCTATTATTTATAAAAATACAAGTATCGATGCATTGGCGAAAACGACTCGCTGCTGTTACTCATGTAATACGCTGTATGATGATATAAAAGTTCCTCAAATTATACAAATATACAGGCTACCCCCAAAAAGTACGCAATATGCTCATTGTGACCAAACTATTACTTCCATCGAAAATTTTTTTAAACAAAACTTCTTATACACAGGGTTGAAAAACAAAAAGAGAAGATTTCGTTTAAACGGCAGCATAGTTATATATGGGTGCAATCGAAAAATAAATATAGGAAAATGAAGTTGTTCAAAATATTGAGGCGATATTCAAATGTTTTGTTTTTTGAGCCAAATGACCCAAAAAGTTCGCAAAATGCTCATTGTGGTCAAACAGTAGGTTTAATCAAAAAATTTTTCAAGTAAAACTTGTTTCTTTTTTATTATGGAATCGTCCATAGAATATAAATTTGATTTACTGTACAGAGTGTTGAAGAAATCGCAGCAGAAAAAATAACGTTAGAGAATTATAAGTTATGTGTTGATGTTAAAATGGACGTCTTGTCAGATTTTTTTTTTTTTTTAATAAGAATAGTTGAGTTGAATGTGCTATGTATCTTCCCTCAAGATTTAAGAATTATTATTGCTATTTTAGTAAATTGTCAACTTCTAGTACAAAAAATGTATAAAACTTCTAATAAGAAGGCCCTTATGGTGTTATTTAAGGATTTGTAATATAATTGAGAATATTCTTCTGTCACCTTTCTATCCAGCTCCTCCTTTTGGAGTAGCTTTTCTTCATATTCTCGTTGCAGCTTTTGTAACATCATATTTAATTCAGCCAATTTTGCTTGAGCCTCTGCTAGCAATCTCTGCTTCTCCTTCAACGATTCTAAAGCTTCATCTAACTTTTCCTTTTTGGGTCTCACAACTCTGAAGGACAGAATCAAATAAACGTGTCAAGCATTCAAAAACAAATTGTTGTTGTTCTCACCGCCAAACCTTTGCATATTTCTCTATAGCAATGACCCACATACAAAGAGATTTTGCAGCAACAGATACAATGCCGACCTTATCTGGTACAAATTCTGGGTTCGTTGTATACTGATGTATTTTCTTCATAGTTTTATCAGAAATATTATTTTTATCAAACTCGCGTAGACCTTGCAAGAAGTATTGGTCACCTAATTGCCTCTTAGCTTCTTCCCAACTGGTATCTACCTGAAAATATGCAGAATTATGTAGCAAGGACTAGAATAAATGTACATATGTATGTATAAATACGTATTCTTCGAATATTTGAAATTCGACTTGGATAGATGTATTTTATATTTTGAGTTCAACATTGCGCTGCTATAACTCCGGTTCAGATTAGCGTAACACAATATTTTTTGTTAAGAAAGAAGCGGCGTAGTAAATTCAAAATGTGTTTTGAAAATTAAAATTGGTCTAGTATTAGTAAAAGTTATTGCATTTGTTTATAAGTTAAAACATTTCCCAGATTTGCAAACGATTCCCTAGGCTCTCTTTATCAACGGATTACAATTTGACAAAATCAGTTCAAATATATAGGAGCTCCTCTTAATTTCTTTGGCCTTAGAAATAATTTGAACATTGGCAATTGTTTTCATGCAGCGTAAATTGTTATTATTATTATGCAAAAATTATAAATCCGATCTAGATGAAATTTAGTGTGATTACACTGGTCTGCAAAAAAAATTTTTTTTTCTATCCTCATTGCTTTCATGCATGATAACTTTATATTTGGTGCTCTAAAGACGGAATTTAACATGCAAATAAATATAGCACATAGATTTTAAATATAATGCCTATTTAATTAAAAAACAATATTATCAAAGTAACAACAATTAAAAGAAAGTAAAAAAGACTACGCTCTAAGTTTTACAATAAAAAATGCTAATTTTACAGTCGTAAGTGATAGAAATATCAGTATATTTATCTCATTATGGTAGTATAATTCAAGTTATTTTGTAGTTGTTTTTCTTTTCATCGTCTCCATCGAAGTTTCTCAGCGAATCGTCCAACAAAAATCAGAAAGCATTGCTTCTGACCAATTTCCATTGTAGCGTCTTTCAATATACATAGTATCCTGATGAAACCTTTAATCATGCTCATCTGATAGGTTTCCGAGATTTTCCGGAAAGAAATCTAAATGCGAGTCCAAAAAAATGAATTTTGAGTGACATATTGCATCCTAAAGCTTTATAAACAGAAAGAAGCTCTCGAATGATTTGTCGGTAGTTGTTAGCTTTTGTATTACCAAGAAAATTATGACACACGAAAGCCGCTCAAGCTTTTTTTTCAGCTTTTTATTCAACTTCGAATTGAAAACTGCATCCGTCATAAGTTCTCGTATTTGCGAACCTACAAAAATCCCGTCTTTCAATTTCGCGTCACTGATTCGAGGAAATTTTATTTGAGATATTGAAAGCCTGCACCATCCTTATTCATAGCTTTCACAGTTTTTCACGAGTCCCAACTTTATATGAAGTGGTGTCGGAAAAATTTTGTCACTTGACACTAGTCTGTAGAATTCTTACAAGTACGTGGCATTTTATAAACTAAAATTAAATGGAATTTATTTAAAAAAATAATTAAATTTTCAATTGTATGGAAAAATACTTTTGTAAAAATTCAATTTTATAGCATCACTTTTCCAGAATTGCGTTCATAAACTTTATAGGTGGGTNTGCAAAACTTACTAAAGAATTTGATATAGAACGTAAACAATTAAAAGACAAGTTTTAAACTAATTGTTGTAAAGTCACAGTGAATACTAAGCAGGCGTATATGTACCACCATAGAAATCACTTTCGGCACTTTCCTTCTTTCTCTTACGACTAGCAAAAACCTACTTCAAATGTATATACATTGTTTAAATGTTAACGCATAAAACGAATTAAAAAAAACTAAATTTATGATATTTTGGAAAAAAATTCATAACGAAAAATCTAGACGTGATAAAAAAAATTGGTCATCGGGAACAGATTCAGCGCATCAAAATCTTTATATTTATAACAAAATTTTTTGAAGGAGGATTTTGTTGCAGACCAGTGTTATTTACGTCTTGTGTTTTTGGACGCACTGCACTATGAAAATGAGTTTTAAGTGAATTATGGATCCCTATCAACCCATCATAGCAAACATTTTTAAGAATCTAGGAACGCTAGCTGTAATCTTTCGTGTCAAATGACGTGAATAACCCTGTATAAAGTATTATTAGATAAGTGTTTCATTTAAATACTCGTAACACCGCTCAAAAAAATATATACACAGGTTTGTTTCAATTAACTTATTAATCATTAATTTCTACGAATAACTGGTAAATTTCAATATTCAAATAAGTGTACATAAATAATTTAATTCCGATAATAATCCAGCAGTAACCATACTTGTGGTTATTCATTTTAAAGAACGCTTTCAGCACATACCACTCTATTATACAGGACCGACCGAGGCTTATGACCTTTTGTCTACCATCGGAAATAAAAAATACCGTCTAGAATTATTGGTTGCTGTAAATACAAGGACTAGTTAACGATACTATAATTGTTAACTTTGCAATAAATAACGTGCCTTATCGACCGTAGACGGTTGGCACTGCCTACGCCATCCGTCCAGTTTTGCATAATCGACAAAACTATAGTTTTCATTATTTCAATTGTAATTATTAAAATTCAGTTACCAAAGTCTTCCCTACGCGGACGGGCCGATATCTTAATGAGCTTATAATTAACGCACATGGTGTATTAGTATTACCATAAGAGGTAACTCCTATCCCTACGGCCACATTAATTCAAAAAGTGTACTGCAAATTAAATGATAAGTTTACAACAATAAATGAAGTTTTAAGAATCACTTTAAATTGTCTTTTTTAAAAACAAGGGATAGCACCGGCCAAAAATAACTGACTTCGGAAATTTGCCGTTTTATGGTAGTTCTTTTCTTTGATGTTTATGGGATTTTTGGGGCAGATTCGCTGGTTACGGGGGTTAAATATTGTTGTTGAGTAGAACAAACAGAATAGCTCAAAACCCCAACGCCAAAACACGACACTGTAGCTGTCCGAAGCAGTAAACTCAGTCCCTGAAGAAGGTAACTTCGTTACCGAAAAGTGCTTCGGACAGCTATAGTGTCGTGTTTTGGCGTTTGGGTTTTGAGCTATTTTGTTTGTTCTACAACAACCGCCAAAGTTTTTCCAATCTTCATATTGTTGTTGAGATTATTCATACATTTGATTAGCGCAAGATTCTTTTTTCTTTTCACTGTTTCCCTTGTAAAGTTAAGAAATGAACTAAATTGTTAAACAGCAGTGGTCCGTTATTTTATTCTAAAGAAGTTGCTACGTCGATTAAACTTGGGGTATGACTGTGAACGTTGTATCTGTATGAGATTTACAACCTCATTGCGAACCTTTCAAGATACAGCGTTCACACATTTTCCAGCATCTTTAGTTTAATGTAAGCAGATGATAAGGTGTAATTTCAAGTAAGATGTTTTTGTTTTACCTGCTTTAAAATCATTACAGCTTCCATAACCAGCTTAACCTTCTCAGGCGGTTTCGTATAAGATTTCATTTCACTAATGTCTTTCTTATTAAGAGCGTCTAAAGCCCGAACAGCTTCATCCAATGCTGGCATAGCCTCATCTAAATCGGCCTGCGCTAAATCCGCAAGTTTCTTACACTGTATTTCCTCTTCTCCTATTCTTATGCTCTTTATGGTAACTTCCTTCTGTTGTTCGTCGGCCTCTCTTCTCTGAGCGGCAATTATAACGATCATTTCATCGCACTGCACCTTAAATTCTTCAACTTTTGCTTGAGCCTCTTCCAACTCTACAGACATTAGTTCTACTTTTTGTCTACAATCTTCTATCTTCCATAATCCGTTACGTAGCTTGTTTGCTTGCGATGCAATCTCTTCTCGTTTTTCAGCTAGCATTCTTAAAATATATGCACTGATTAAAATAAATGTTTGATATGTATTTTCATATCTCTTAATTATGTACTACATATTTTAAATAATATATAATTATTACATAAATTTACGTAATCGATAACTTATAAAGAATATTAAAAGATTCATACTTATTAGTTAAGAAGAAAAACCAGAAGGTCGATTTGCAAAACTTTGTAATTAAACTGCCAGACGCGGATCGCGATTTCGATCTTTTTGGATCTCATCAGCGCGTCGCAGGCAGCTCCGACAGAACACAGACCAACTTTTACCTGCTGTCTTAACAGTGCGTTTTAGAAAATAC